TTTTTTTTTTTTTTTTCCCTCTGAAATAAAAATGAATGTCTGTGGCATGGCTTTCCTTGAACTGGTCCGCCAGCCACATTTCATTGGAGGGTTCAAATTCTAAATGGCTAAATTTATCCACAATTTTTTTTTTTTTTTTAAAGTAGTGTCCCGTTGCAAATCATCCCATTTTATAGATGCAAAATTTACCACTGTTGGACCTGACAGTGATGATGTACAATGATACTGCTTAGTGTCTAAAACTCGATTCACCACCCAACCATTGAGTCTATCTATTGTACAGAGTTGTGACTGTATAAACCAGCTATGTATGATTTTGATTACAGCCCAGGTGTAAATGAGACCTGCGTTCACACCGACAGACAAACAGTTGACAGTGTTTGGCCTCTAACGACGCTGTAACTCCACAAGCGCTGGAAGCAATCTCCACTCCTCCTTGGGAGGTTGAGTAGTAAACAACTCCAAGCTTCTGTTTCCATGTGAATCAAAACAAATTTGATTGCCTCTCACTGTACCAGAGTACATCTGTGTAAAGCTGAGGCTCTTTTCTGTAGTGCTGCTGGGCACATTTTTAAAAGCTCTGTAGCTCAGTGGGTGGTGCCTGGCTGCTATTATAAGTCCCTTCACAATGAATAGCATCCTATCCAACAAGTAAAATCTAGGTTAAGTAAAAAAAAATATTGTTGCTTGATAAGTGAAAGTGCGCTTCAGTTACAACAGTTTCAGTGTGTGCTTAGCTAACTTGTATAAACTTTACCTTTTTATAGTTAATCTTTAGTTAAAGTCAACAATTTCCTCATTCACATCACTTCAGATAGCACAACAATAGGAGCTGTATCAGTAAGTCAGTGTTGTGAGGAGGTATTTATGTAAATCTATAAATGTTCTCTTATTCTCTTCGGAAAAAATGACATTTCTGATTCTTTACCTGTGCAGGCGGGCCAGACAGCGCTGATGCTAGCTGTTAGCCACGGTCGGCAGGAGATGGTGCGGGCACTACTGGAGTGTGGCGCCGACGTCAACGTGCAGGACGACGAGGGATCCACGGCTCTGATGTGTGCTAGTGAACACGGCCGTGCTGAGATCGTCAAACTGCTCCTGGAACAGCCTGGTTGCGACATATCCATTGTTGATAATGTAAGGCATTTATTCATCTGAGGGGAAACTTTCAGTAACTTACCCCTGAGCTTACAGATCAAGCCAGCTGTCGGATCTCTGAATGCTGAAAACATCTGACCGCTTTCTCGTCTGGGATTCAGCTTAATCTCTGCTCAGGAAACGGCTCCTCATGGGAAATCGGTCCATGCAGTTTCCTCTCCTTGTCACCTTTTTTTTTTTTTAAATCCTTCTCTTCTTTCGTGTTTTTCTTAATTAGCAAGATAGGCCGAGAGCTTAAGAGCCACGATCAGATTAGTTTCATCTGCCTCGTACTGAAATCGGTGCTGTTTACAGGAAACACAATCAGTGGGCTGCTCACAAGCCCCCGAGGGATCAATTAAAAAGCCACAACTTCTCTGTTCAAAACCGCAGACTTGCAGATTTCAGACACAATGCCCTGCAGGCATCTTGCTTGAGTCCTCTGCATGCCTCACAACAGGACCCATACACAAGTCAGCAGTAACTGTTCATAGTCCAAGGTGGGAAAAGTCCATCAGTGATTACTTTTAGACTATACAAGATTGACCATTTTGCCAACAAATTTATTTATATCACCTACCAAATTTCAGCAGGAACATTTACTTTTCTCAACAATCTGAACCTGAAACAAAACTTTTCTCATCGCTGCTTGTGACATTTCTCGCTATGCTTTTTTTTTTTTTTGTTAATCCGCACAGCCGTGTGTTTTAAAGTGATTTTACAGAGGATTGGTCTGGATGCTTGAAGAGAGGCCAGGCAGACAGATATTTGAGCGTTCACATCTGTGCCAGAATGAGTTGGCCATTCAGTGCAGGCAGCTCCTGGATTGTGTTTCAGTGCAGCACAGCTGGACCAAGGGATGGACCGGGTGGGGGGGGATGGAAAAACATTTGGAAAAGCCCCCACCTCTCCTGTCCTGTGAACACACAGAACAGCATGACAAACCATGATTGTAAGAGACAGTTATATGTACAGTGCTGCTAGTCAGATTTTCACTTTAACTAGAGGTTTAAGGGTGTAGTACGCTCTGGGAATTAGCTTAATATTGTCTAATTATGTCTGCGTCTCAGTGCGAACACTTATTGTGTACAACCCTTTTGATAAAGATCTAGTAGATAAAGGAGTTATTTTTTTTTTAAACTTGTGACTAAGATATGGAGTAAGTGGGACATTGTACAGTGGAAAAATAAAAATGCTGTATTCACAGTACAGAGCTGTGACTCTAAACCGAGTTACCAAATAGTGATTTTTTTATTTTTATATATACTTTTGTGTAGAGCCTTAGTGACATATTTGATGTAATAGCAGGGACAGTACAATTACGAAAACAGAGAAATACTTTAGATTCAGGGCGGATGAATGTTCAGGTTGCTTACGAGCCAATCAAGGATGCATGACAGTGACTTGACTGGACGAGTTGCCCCAACATCACAACATCACAAGAGTGCTGTAACACATCCACACAGGGGTATAGTCTTGTAGTACAGAGCGTGTTGAAACAGCTGGAAAAAGGAGCAACTGTGTATAATGACGATTACCTGGTCCATGTCAAATTGTAAAGCCCTCTGTTGTAGTTAAAAGGGTCATTGAACTCACTTTTACTCTTTCTGCCTGTAGGATGGCAGCAATGCTCTGTCAATCGCACTGGAGGCGTCTCACAACGACACAGCTGTGCTGCTCTACGCCCATATGAACTATGCCAAGACCCAGCCTGCTGTGGTGAGTCTACCCTCCCACCCACCTCCTCTTTTTTGGGTAGTCACATGTGAATTATGACAGTTATGAATACAATTTGGCTCAAAACAAAGACAAAAGTCAGTCTCAAGTAGACCTACCTTATAGCAAAGTCACCTTTAATGCAGACTTGGCTCTGTTTTCATCATGTTTAACAGCCTGCAAAGAAAGAATAAACAAAAACATTTGGAGTTTACATCAACACTGCCATCTACAAAGTAATTTTGGTGTCACAAGCTGAGAGGCCTGAAAGCCACAAGCTTTAAAATCTGCTAAGAATGGCATGCAAGCAGGCTGAAGTCTGTGCAGGTCACACTCAACATAACTGTACAGTGAGCAATGTCTCTTGTATTTAAAGTGGGCAGGATCAGTTCCACAGCAGCACCAAGCTTCAGTTTGGGTGTGGGCAGCACTGACTGAAGGTGCAATGCTGCCCCCTATAGGTGTTAACAAGTTCCTGTGGATTCTGTTAGAGGACATATAGCAAAAACATTGCCATTAAATTAATCCAAAATTATAATGTAAATATAATTTAAGTACACTTTTAATTTAACATACCAATAACAGTAATAAAGAAACAACTGTGCTTAAGATTTTGTTCCATTCAGTGACGTCCGAGTGTTGTATTGCTTGATTTTAATGGCTCATCAAACTATTAGAAAAAATACAATTATTTGTTCTTTAAATATAATTAAGTGGACCCTGTTCTTCATTGTGTCATTCAGGGGAGTCCCAAGGCCCAGCCGAGGAGCCCCACCAGCCCCCACAAACCCTGGCCTTCAGACTGACAAACATCAGTTCGACCTCACGTATGAGGACAGACCAGCAAACATAACTGGATCTGAGCTGTGAAAAGCTCCACTGGAATTTACTTAAATATATATGTATTTATATATTGCCATATGTCCTGCATTTATAAGTATTGTTGATATGAGAATATTATTTTTCCATAAAAGTCGTGAATAGTTATATTATATACTTGACTAATATGAGCTCCTAGCATGTCTACATTTGGTCTCCAGCACGTTTTTTCAGGAGATGAGACCTTACATTTATTATTTGCACTCCACTAATAATTTACTGTTAAGGGCACCACACACTGATGGTATATGATGCATGTTAAAAAAAAACGTATAGCAAATCCCAGTGTTGGTGCTGAAGAAAATGTATCATACTGGCACATCCTGGCTACTCTACCTTGACTACTTCTGTCCGCATGTCCTGCGTGTACTACGGACATCAAATGACATGACACAGTGCATGTGTGTTGCCCTCAAGTTTTCTCCTTTCTGTCCTGTCTCAGTTAACTGATCTGTGAACCTCTTTACCTTCATAGTCTGCACTAACTGTCTGTGCATTGTATGTCCATATAAATATATACATAAGTATATAAACTGTATATTCATGTCTGAAATAAACATATTTACATTTAGTGTATGAAGAGTAATTGTTTATGCACAAACATTTTTTTTTTTTAAATGATGAACAGCTGTTTTGCACACGTGGAGGTGGAGTTCAGAAAGACCATCTCTTCCAATCAAGACACACACACACACACA